GTTTTTAAGGCTTGGGGTTGTTGTTTATACAAACAGCACAAGAAGAGATGGTCGTCGCCCCCCTAGTTGGTAAACGATTGGGAGATCATCTATCCAACGGAGGCATCCATTAAGGTTATAGACCTGTCTCGAATTTAATAGGGCGCTAGTGTATGGGCCCAGGGCTTCGAATGAGGTTTGGAGAATAGTTTTTACTCATTGCATACCCTTGCGTACGCACATAAAAGTTGCGGCAGATTCTATCAATTATGGCAGGGAAGGGGAAAAATTTTTTGTCTATTTCTGTACGATCTTCTTTTAAGTCTAGAGTACAGCTTCCTTAGTGGGCCGCAAATTCTGTGCTATATTGGGTACCCGTCCAATTTTTTATGGATAGCGCATGAACACACGAGGCTGTCTTCTCTCAAATCTGCACCAACTGAAAGGTTCCCTAAAAGTCACTTTCGTGAGCCATCCCCCTGGGGGCCAGTTTTTGGTGGGTATGCAGCATCGAGACTCGATGCTGCGGCCACCCCGAAAACTCCAACGCGAGCGAACCAGCAGTCCCGACCGCAAGGGGACATGAGATTTGCTGTGAGGAAGACGGTGCGCTAAGGGCATCAACCCGGCTCCTTCTGTAGGAGTCCTACTTTGACGGGAACAGTGGACTCGCCGCTCCGTGGATTCATCATTCTCGAGTCTTCCCGCTGCCGTGCACTACATTATAACTTTCAGACCTTCATCATGTGGAAGCTCGCACTCACTTCGCTAGCGCTACTGGCGTCCCTTACCCGAGCGCAAATCCGCGATGGTGACGAGATTTGCGTCATAAGCGATTCGAACTCATGCGCCGTAGACGACCTCACCACCTCATCACTTGACATCAGTACCGTCATTTACCCAGGCGGCACCACTCGCTGCGCCTTCGACGACTTCTACAATGCCAGCGTGGACTACACCACCAACTCGACGTACTTCTTCCAGGTCTTCCCAGCTCCGGATCAGCGCAAGACCAAACTTATGTTGTATTTCCAGGGAGGCGGTGCCTGCATCGACGACTCCACCTGTGCCTTCGGTCTGCAGTGCATGTTCGAGACTTTTACAGCCAACGCCAGGCCACTGAGCACGGGCGTCCTCAACCGTTCCAACGACGAAAACCTCTTTAACGACTACAACATCGTACACCTGCCGTACTGCACCGGTGACCTGCACATCGGAAGCCGCATCGACCACATTGAGGATAACCCTCTGTACGCGCTGCTCAACATGCCAGAGTGCTTGGGCCACAACATGACTCTACACCAGGTTGGCTTCAACAATACTAAGGCAGTGCTCGACTGGGCGGTGGAGAACTATCCGAACCCCGAGGAGATTATTATCAGTGGCTACAGTGCTGGGGCTCTTGGTGCTCAGGCTCTTAGCGCTCTCGTAGCTGAGACGTGGCAAGTAAAGGAGAAAAATATTCGGTACTCGGTGCTCAGTGACAGCTACGCGGGTGTGTTGCCCAGCGACTACACGGCTGGCAAACTCATTTCGTACTACGGGTCGTGTGATCTGGACCTCAAGGTGACGTCCGAGCTCTGGGACCGATGTGATGACAACGATCTGACTGTGACCGAGATGATGTCCTACATGATTGAAAACGTCCCTGCTGCTCAGTGGCTTTTCCTCAACAGCATGTACGATCAGACTCAACGGTACTTTTATGAGCTGGTGGACGAAGGAATTCTTGGCTACCCGTTCACAGATCTCATCAGTGGCGAGGACTTTTACTCGGTACGTTGGGGCATATGTGCCCCCCCCCCCTTCTTGTAAACTAGTTCACTAACTTTACTCGTTTTTTGTTGTTGTTTAATACAGAACCTGACAGCTATCATCGACGTGTACAAGAACATCAGCGACGACGTCTCGACGTTCTACGTCAACAGGTCCCAGCACGTGTACCTCACGGTGAACGACTACTACCGCAACGCAACCCGTACTCCGGGCGATGAACTCCTTGGCGACTTCCTCAAGAACTGGTTAGTGACCAACTCGTCAATTGACGCTGCTGCCTCGGCCGGCTCACTGTCGGTTGCCGGCAGCGTTTCTGGATCGTCCTCAGAGGACTCGGCTGCCGTCAGTGTGAATGGAGCTCTGTCGCTTACTATGGTGGCCGTGGTCGCCTCGATGCTCTTCTAGTAGGACAGCATGAGCTCCTTATTATTACTAACAAGCACAGTAATATGTAGTACACTATGTACGTCTTCTTTTCCCCCCTGGTTGTCACCTTAAAAAAAAACGCGCAATATTTCGAGCAGGAGATCATGAAACATCTATTGCTCACGCATGGCACTGAAAATCACTCCAGTACGCTGCGCTAAAGTTGCCCAGCAGCTAAGGTGCATAATAATAGTGTGTCGAAATGTGCGCAAAGTTGATCTGTGCACCGAAGACCGCCTGCAGCACCAACGTGGATATGAAGAGCGCAAGGATTACGATAAGCGGCAGCAGTAATTGCTCCGTCCGGTGCAGGAAAGGAAGCGCTAATGATCAACAACATTATACAGCACCAGGTAAGTATCCAAGCAGTTTGGCACTAAAATAATAAAAGTCTACCGTACCCATATAACCGAGAAAAGTGATGTACGTGTAGAATCCCCAGCCCAGCGAGTACAGTAGATTCCCAACCAGCAACACCACAAAAGAGTTCGACGCGAGCAGCGGTGTCAGTAAAAACTACGGCAACAACCCAATACAGTAAAAATGAGAACACAAGCCCCAAAAAGGTATCATCACAACACTCCTAACTTCCGACGAGATAGGTAGAAAGAAAGATAGATAGATACCTGCAGCACGTAGAGGAAGAGGAACAGGATGAAGAACGAGTTGCAGTGGATGTCAAAGGCGAATTGCCACTCCACTCGCTGCTCCACGTACAACGCATCTCCCACACCGTGACTGTTATATAAAGCAGCAGTAATACATGAGTTGAGCCCTAAAAGGTATGCAGGTCTGCTGCACGCACCTGTTCCTCTGACGGAGATGGTGGTTAGCGGTCCACCAGCAGAGCGTGGAGATGACGAGCCCAAAGCCAAGCCATTCAACCACCACTGCATGAAACAGCAACGACGCATACTTAGCCGCGCTATCAACACGGAAGGCAATAGCCCATGCCAGTGTGGCTACGAGTAGGAAGGCGAACTGGATGACTGCGAACGCAGGGTCGTCTCTCGCCCAGCGGTTCTTGGTCTGTTTACGGTAGTATGCGCTCTTGTAAACTTTGGCAGGCTGTACACAGAGCGTGACCATTTGATAGAAGGTGGCGTCTAAGTCCATCTGACGGTAATCCAGCACACGAGCAAAATATTCTGGGAAGGCGGAGCAGGAGCGGAACACGTCGGCACCTGCACGATTGACTTTCTTTTTGTGGCGACTGCCTAGTGGGTCAGAAGACACCACGTACTTCATGTCGATGCTTGTGCTCGGCTGCAGAAGCTCCTCGGAGTGCGTCGTGGGCGACAGCATCACGGCGGACGAAGACGGAATTGCCTGGAATAATCGAAATGACCGTTTTATTGTGATTAAGTACGATTACATGGTGAGCAACTTCATAAAAATGTGTTGCACAACTTGCTAAAAATGTTACCCGTGTAACCGGTTCATGAACCGAAGACACTTCCGCGGGAGTTTGGAGGCCTCGATGGCTGCTCTCCAGGCAACCAGACCTAAGTCGATAAGGCTGGGTGTGATTGGCTGATCCTTAGCCAAGTGCGAGGGCGTCGGCAGCTGCGACGGATCCGGAGATCGGTACAGTGGTCGAGGTTGCTGGTTGGTTGCCAGAGCACGAAGAGAACGGAGAGGTGATTACGGAGTCGTGGGACGAAGGCAAAATCTAATGCCACTCTCTCTCTTTTTTGTATATAGCCTCGTGCACTTTAAGTGGAAACAAGTCTGGTCGCTGATAGATTTACAACCGGTTATGAGTCCAATGAATAAAGTCACCGACGACGCCAGCACTCGTTGCGAACGGCAAAAGGGTCGGCATGGCTGACGACGCCGAAGACGAGAGCACTGCTGTCGCTCGCGAAAGGAGCAACAGCAGTAACACCAGGGTCACGAAGGGGGCAACGCATCCGAACTACTCGACATCATGCAAGGAATATCAGGGAGGCTGAAGAAACTCGAGGAGTCACAGTCGAAGCTAGAGGAGAACATTGGGGGCAACGGAGACAGCGCGAATGGCGCCAGTGTGCCCTCAACTCCATCCATGAAGTCGAGCCTGTTTGCTACAGGGCTCGGATGTGGAGCTCAGATACACATCGACTGTTTGGCAGGTTCGCCAGAGACGTCACAGACGGCGTCGCCGAGAAGACCAGCGGCACCGCCCTAGTACTTTGCACAGCAGCAGCCTAAATACGGCATGCCGGTGTCGCATCTGCAGCGCCTGTATGCTGAGGCAGCGCAGCAGGGCCAGCAGACGGCGGCTGCGCAGCCACAGCAGGAAGTACACGCTCAGATAGGGAGCCGGGAGGTTTCCTGGAATTTACAAGTGCCTGCGACCCGCAATCCGGACGCACGGCAGAAGCAACTTCCTTCGCCGGTAAGGAATTGTACGTAGGGATGAGGTCTGGCTTCCTGGAGTGGGGTCGTCGTCTTGAACGACAGGTCAACATCGCCCAGTCGGCGTGTGGCTTCACGTGGCCCGAGGATAGTAAAGTGGATCTACTTGGGCATTACTTGAAGGGTACAGCGGAGAGGTATTACCACAAGCGGGCCGAGGCCTGGTGGGGACAATTACCTACGCTACAGTATGCGATGGAGAAGATGCTGGGAGCATTTAAAACAAATGTCACTCTGGCTCCAGAAATGAAGCTTCTCATGGCGCCCAATGACGCCGGGCTCACGTGGCCAAAACATTACATGTATCTGGTAGCCGTTTCTGGGGCGCGTGGAGGGAGTGCGGACTATATGGTACTGAATAACACAGTACATTACGCATCCGTCGACCTGCGCATTGTACTGATGGCCAAGGTCGACAGCACAAGAGAAGATTTCCTGCAGCAGGCTGAAGAGCTCGCCCACCCAGATTTGACGCTTGCCTTGCGGGACAAGCTGATTGAAGACAAGCACGAGTGGATACTCGACAGTAGGTCGAGCAGGCACCTGTTAAGCAACGCGTCTTGGCTTGACGACGTTGAGTCGGTAGACGACGTATGTCTGCAACCCAGCGGTGCTAAACGTAACTAAGAAGGTCACTCTGACACTCCGTGTGTCGGCGTGTGGTGCTGAGAAGATAATCAAGTTGAGCGATGTGTACTACGCGGCGGACGGCGTTCACAATTTGATCTCGTATGGAAAGTTGAATGAAAAGGGTTTTAGGTTGACCTACCGTTATGATCAAAGTGTGATAGCTGCCAAGAACGGAGTCGTGGTCGCTTTTGACGTTGGGCTGCGGCGCAATGTGCTGGTAGCTCGAGGCAAGGTTGACAAGGCGCAGGAGACTGTGTCGGATGTAATCATGGCGGCACTGGACCGCGAGGCGGACGTGTCGAACGACACGTACAGTGCAGCGCAGAATGCATCTCTAGTCGAGTTCCACAAGAGACTAGAGCTTCTTAACTATGACGAAGTGAGTGTGGTGTTGGGAATCCCACGTGAACGCTAGCTACAACTGTAGTTAGGACGTTCCCACAACAATACGTATACTAGGATAGTAAACGATCGTTCGGGACAAACTGGACCTTGTAAACTACTTATATAGGCCAGCCAGTAAAAAAAAGGAACACGCTACTAGCACGAGCAAAGGTAGGAGGTGTTATGAATCCTCATGGTCCCAACAGCGGAAGGGTACCGTAAGCTTTTTACGGTTGGAAGAATCAAAGAGATGCAATGCACGCACGCCCAGTCGTGCAAATAGGCAACAATAAACCACAACGTAAACCTCCCGATAGTAATCGGCCAATACACACACATTATCTTGGCCTACCGGATGATCCCTCGCTACAGAGCTTCGAATTCTCTGGCAGGTAAAAGACACTAAAACAAGCTTGATAAGACGCTTACCTTGAAGTCAGACGTCGCTCTGTGTGCTTGAGTGGAAATTCGGTTCTGTATTTATGTTTACCCTTTCGGGTCTATTCCTAATAAGAAGTCCTAATCAAGTATACACATATGAAGTGAATAATGATACGTTATGGATCTTCTGAAACGCCAAGCGTCGTTTACACCGACGCATGCGCCTCTTCAATAGCTCTTGCGCTTTCCCAGACGGTGACTGTGTCTTCAAAAGTAGCGGAGTCTTCCGCGCACTCATCCCAATCGCCACCGAGGGTTCGTGCGTAGATGGTCAGTTATTGGCCGCTAAATGCGAATCCGGCCAGTCCATTATTACCGTATTCCTTATGTGATTGGCGACAGTCAAATTTTAGGTGATCCTTGAGGTGGTCCAGCCTTTCTGCCAGCATAAAAGATACCTGCATAGAAAAAAATATATAATATGTTCAAATTTATATTGGTTGCCAAGCACATAAAGCGCGACGACACGATATTTATATTAATTTGATTGGCAGCTGGATTTGTCGCTAATGACCGAGCGTCACCAATCACATAAGGAATACGGTAATAATAAAGACAGCCTGGATTCAGTGACATATGGACTGTATTGAGAGTTCGGTACCGACGCTGTCGAGTCTCTTGCACCTTGGAGTCACGGTGCATCACGTGACCGAGGGTTCGTCGCTTGAACAGCTTGGGCGGTGTCACGTCTTGTCGGCGGGTGATTATCCGCAACTATGGAGAACACGTAAGTCATTACATTATGGAGAAATCACTACACCACAACTTCCCCTGTCGCAATGGAAGCCACGGTACTGGTACCCGCTGTGACATTTCTTCATTCTCTAATTCACTACCCAGTCACTAAATGTTTAAATCGAACCGTGACCAGCGCGCTTCAGCGTCTCAATCCTCACCGACGTCGCGAACGTGAACAGCTGGAGGTACGTCAGCTCATCTTCTTCTTGAATCATCAGCGCCTTGCTCATCACCATGCATTACTCGTCTTGTCTCTCAGGAGGGCGACACCGAGGCTTCGAACGCCGCTCAGCCTGCTACACTTCCCCCGACAGCAGCGTCCTCAGCCGGACCTCCGGCGCTTCCTGCCCCGGACTCTTCACCCCCTGCGGCACTTCCTGTCGTCGCTGAATCCACTGAGATGGCTCCTGCTGGTTCTCCTGCGCATGCTGGTGGTCCACCACCACTCACCGAGGATTCGTTGCGCGCCATGCTGGCTGAAAGTACGGAGGCATCGGTCGATCACATGATGACCTCGATAATTCCGTACTTGACTGCGATGGCTCGTCACCAAGTGCAGCTCAGCGCTGCGTCTCCTCTCCACGGCGATGTCCACGCTCAACGTAGCCTTGAGACTGCCGTTGGCTTCGATGATGTCCTCGCTGCTGTACAGCCTCTTCCTGACGCTGTCGGCATTACCCGACCGAGTTGCCAGCTTGGATCGTCAGCTGCGGTTTGCTCAGACCGAGGCTGCTGCCGCCGTACGTTCGGTGGCACCCAAAATCGTGACTCGAGAGAACGTGGAGGCGTTCCTCAAAGCTGTCAACGCTGAAATTGAAGCCCTTCACAAGAACGTCAAGATGCTCCGCGAGTCGAACGCCAAGAACGACGCCATGCTTGCAAGTGTTCAGGCCACCATGGAGTGACATTCAGAAGACTTGAATCGTCTGCACTGCGAGGTTCAATCTCGGGACGCATTTATCGCCACATTGAACAAAAAGCTGGCCCGTGAGCGCGAGGTGTACAAGTCTTCGATTGGTGCGAGCACCGAGCAGACTTGGAAGGTTCACCTCCTTTTGGTCAAGCTTGCCCAGGGCAAGTAGGCTGACAACGACACCCTCAAGGCCCTCGAGAACCAGCAAGATGGTAGCACTCGCCTCCTCCAAGTGAATCGCACCCTCCGTGCACACGTGAGTCTGGCCGGGATGGATCCCGAGGTACTGCGTCTGGCTGTTGACGGTACGTTCCTAATGTTGCTCGTTCCACCGTGTGTTCAGCAACTAACGTTCGTTCACAATCCTTCGTGATAGGTCTGACTGCGGGTGGGCTGGACCTGGACGCCCTGGACTTGGACCAAGAGACACTGGTCGCTTTGCAGCACATACAGTCCGCTGCCGCATCTCGGACGATCCACAAGCTCTTCCTGCAGCTTTGGCTAAGGCTGCTCATCAAGTGGCCCATGGGAAGTCCCACAAGCGCCTTCGACCAGGTGGCAAGGAGTCAGACGACGAGCTGGATGATTCTGACGAAGACAAGGCTCCCATCCCGACGGATAAGGCCAGTACTTCGATGGCAGCTGCCGGTCTCGGCGATGCGCCTCCTGCCGACACTTCAACTCCCTCAGCTCCCAAGTCGGCACGTCGGTCGCTGTTTGGTCCGAAGGCATGGAGACAAGCGGCCCAAAAGAAGCGCCAGAAGACTCGTCCTCGCTCTCCCGCCAAGTCGCCTCGACGTCATATGAAGACTCGGTC